TATCCATATATATATATATATATCTATATATATATATATAAAATATATATATATAGATATATATATCCATGTGTGTATGTATCAGTTTGCCTGGAGTTTTGTTTTAATGTACTCGGCTTTAGTTGTACTTCATTTGGCTGGTCTTGTCAAACATGTAAAAATGCAGGTTTTCAGTGGATAGCTTTGTTCTTTTTAATCTTTTCTCCACAGAACACAGAGCAGAACATGGTTTAATAAATAAAGTATAACCTTTGTCCTTTACTTTCTACAGATGACCTGGAAGAGGAATACGATGATGTAACAGTAAAAATGATTGTGGCCATTGTACAAGCTGTTGGATTTTTTAACTCATTCAACAACCCAGTGGTCTACACTTTCATGAATGAAAACTTTAAGAAAAGCCTGGTGGCTGTGCTTTTCTGTCACTTCAGAGTTCAAGAACAAGCTGAGAAACGGGACTGTAATAATCTGGAGAAGCCCAAGGTTGGGACATCCAACTTTACTCATAGAAGAGAAGGACGTAGCCCTCACAGTCAACTCAGTGCAGAGAACTTGGAGCTCCGTCTATGTGAGCAATTTCCAGCTGCCAAACTGGAATCTGTCACCTACCCTTTGGTGAGCTCTCATAAAGACCTTTTACCCAACGGACAGTCTGCATAATCACTGCTGAACGGTCTTTCGTCAATGGAAGCATTTTGGAAGACACAAACAATATGCAGAGAAACAACTCAAATTTTTAAAACTTTTGTGCCCTTTATACTTAAAGGAGAACTATGAGGTGAGTGCTTTTCACTCACCTCATAGTTCTAGCCGACCTGTGACAGGTCGGCTTAGTAGGTCGGGAGGTGAGCGAGCACATACCGGCGTTCGCTCACCTCTCGATCCTGTCACGGCTCTCTGCCGTGACAGGGGGAGGGGCTGGATTCCCGCCTCCCTGCTCCGATCCGCCAGCGCTGACTGGCGGAACGGATGAGGGAGGGGGCGGGTACAGCTGGCTCTGCCTCTAGATAGGCAGAGCCAGTTGTCAGTCACGCAGCTGGGCGGATCCCGGCATAATTGTCGGGATCCGCTTCAGCTGCGGCGCCTCAGTATACCGCGAGCAGCAGCTCGCGGTATACTGCGGCATCTCAGTATACCTGAGCCTAGGGTGACGGGAGGACGCTAGTTTGTGTCCTCCCTTTACCCTAAGGAGAACTATGGGGAAAAGCCTTAACACCATAGTTGTCCTTTAAGGGGCATCTTCTTTTCCTAATGCCCAAACCAGAACATGCATTTTCGGTAATATTTCTGCTAATAACAGACTATGAGTCAAAGAAGAAAACTAATCAGATAAGGCTGGAAAAAAGAGACAAGCCTTCATACACAAGTTAGTCCTCAGCTCCTTTTGGTAGTCATGTGGCTCCAGAGCATGCTTTCTGAAGTTCTGCAGAGCAAGTTCTCAGGGAAAAGGAGGTAGAAGAAGAGGAACTGTTTGATATATTAGCTGTACATATTGTGTACAGTTCAGCCAAGAGTTATATGTGTGTTTTTCATCTAAGTACATCCAATTTCTTGCCTTTCTTGTTTGTTTAAAAAATAAATAAAATTGAAATAAAAGAAAATTATTTCATATCACGTGAGAAACTATCCACTGCATGATCCTCTAGTGCCTTGGTTCTCAACTGGTGGGTCGTGACCCAAAAGTGGGTCGCGACCCCGTGTTTAGTGGGTCATCGCATGCCTTCCACTTTTCTAGGTGAGAGGCTCCTCAGCCTCCCCCTAGCGCAGCACTGTCCATTCTTACACCGAGCAGCCATTCAAAATATGCTGCCCAGCGCAGAGTGTTAACTCGAGGTGGGGTGGGCTTGAGATTTGGCCGCGAAGGAGCTCCATCCATACATGCATTGCTTATAGCTCCTTCGCATGTCCTGGAGAGGTGCCTGGACTGGAGTGACATCACATTCTGGCTCCCGGCACGTCTACAGGCACACATATGAGCTGCACGAGCAGCCCAGACTCACAATGCTGTTCGTTCCATTGTAGTGCGACTTGGGTCGCAACTTAATGACCAAGGACAAATGTGGGTCCTGAGGTTACACAGGTTGAGAACCACTGCTCTACAGGATACCAGATGTTTCATGGCTATAGAAATGCATAACAGCTCTTCCACACAAACACAATCAGGGAACAACCTGTTTAAAAAAGGTGAGTCTTGTTTTCGACCTTTCCTGCCATCAAGGTATGTTAAAGGATTTGAAGGAACTCAGCATATACAAATGGCAGGACAAAGGCTGGAAAGATGCAACTATTGAATGTATGTCTTTGTACACTATTTTCTATACTGGATAAAAGTGCAGTACATTAGATATTCACTGATTTTATTTTTATTATCATATCAACATTGAGTCCATTTCACAGGTAATATATTCTCCAAATAAAAAGATGTCTAGGAACCGTGACATTTTTACTTATAAGTCCTGTTTATAATATTCATTTAAGAAAAGACATGAAGAGATAGCTCAGCCATAGCCTCAGCTCACCTCAACCATTCTGCATCTTTGTAGTGGACATACAATATAGGAAAGGGGGTAGAGAACCAGGATTATTCTTAAACAAACATGAACTTGTATTTGGAAGAATCAGATATAATAATTGTATGACTTGAAATAAGTATCAGTGGAGTAAGAGTGACATTCACCCACCCAAAGAAAAATAGAACAGCCTTGGAAACATCTTGCCACTCCATTAGATTCCCAGGAGATACATTTTCATCTAGTTCCTCCTTATCTCAGTTTAGAAAAGAACAAGGTAAAATTAATTGACATGTTCTACCTTTTGCAATTTGTTGGTTTTGAGTTTAGATGAAGCACTGAAATACTGAGGAATGGTGAATTAAGTTTTACTTGCTTAGCAGGACATTGCATACATTGGCAGGATTACAGCATCAACAGGAAACACATATATTATAGACAAGCATGCACAACCACAGAGACCAACATTGCACCACAGCGCTACCTAGTGCCCAAAATACAATATTACATCTCAATGTCAGCAATACAAATCAGCATGCTGTTGTATTTCCAGCACAATTATGGTTTGATTGGTCAGTGTTGATGGGCTACAATAGATTTCACAGCATGTTTGACCCAGACTGTTGCATGGCTTCATTGAAGTCATTTGTGCAGTGCAGCAAACCTACTTCATGTAAAATACTTGCTGATGGGCCTGCTTTGTTGAAATCCAATGTGTGAATTTACCCTCAGGTCACACTGTGCCTTTTTCCTAGTAGAATAAGGTTATTTTTAGCCTGCACACATTTATCCTCTGGTTTTCAGACACGCTCGTTTTATACATTCATGCATTAATACATTAATAGAGTTTGCTTTGGTGACTTCAGATGTTGACCTTGAATATATCAAATGCAAATACCACAAATTAAATGTCAGCACTTCTTTGCATGATCTAAACCTGTTCTCCTCTAGCTTCTTCCTGGAGTGCACTTTGCTCCTCTTACATATAACTAGTCTATAGTATACAAAGAACAGTCAGGGCAATAATAAAACATGAAGAGAAATCATATGTCAAGTGTATATTGAGCAGTAAAACACAGAACTTGAAGGAGCACTTTGTGAACATGAGCAAGACTGGCTTACCAAGGTTGTACTAAACATAGAATATAGATGCATGATTATATGTGTAGTACATATTGTCCCTATTATCATTCAAAGTTATTGGGTTAGTAAAGCCCTGTCATTGAAGTTAATTAAAGGAAGGAGGAGGAATTACATTTCACCTCCACTCAATACAAATTCCAGCTTTGTTGTTAATGATCACTGCTGTCATAGACTCCATCTTTTGCATGGCTGTAACAGACCAAGCTACAGTTATCATAATGCAAAACTACCCATATACTTCTATAGTGGAGGGCACAAGGCACAGAAATATGAGATACATGCAGTATATATATATATAGTCCAGTAGAAGAAGCACTCGCAGATCTTGTAGCAGCATATACATTTATTGGTTAACGTTTTGACAAGGCACTGCTTGTCTTTCTCAATAAAAGTCAAGCAGTGCTTATCGAAATGTCGACCAATAAATGTTACAAGACCTACAAGGGTCTCTTCTACTGGACCCTTTGTATTTAATTGCCTTGAGTGATTAAATAATAATAATAATAAGATCATTAGAATAAATCATTGTGTGTGTAGTTCCTCATGTAGGGAGATTCAAGGTCAATGGTATTGGTTTTAGCGCATCAATGCAATAATTTTTCAGTGTACAGGGACAAAATTTCTCGGAAAAATCCCTCAGAGGAGCCACTCTTATGGGTGCACTACTCAAATCCACATAGGCTGATAAACGTTGTTGTATTTTCTAAACATATATAGAAATGTATAACATAATCAGAATATTTTGGGTGGTAAAAAGATCTTTCAAGGGTCTGATAATTGACATCCAACTAATCAGATTCCACTGATATCATCCTACCATCTCTCCCAATGACTGGACAATCATGATCTTCCACCGGGATGGACTGACAAACAGATGTATTGCATGTTCTGTAAATGGTTTGATCCTTGCTAGTAATTGTTATTGTCTTCTGGTAAAACCCAACTCCAGCCAAAATGTTTTTCTTTAGTTTTGCATAGAGTATGTACTGTCATTAGAGGGATGTACTGTCATTTGGGGGGTGAGGAGACCAGGGAGGGATGTACTTTCACTTGGGGGGGGTGTACAGGGACTATGATGGCATGCTTGGACTTGTAGTTCCTTAGCTGATATATATGTGTGGGGGTGGGGGGTAAAGTTCTAGTGGATGTTTATATAATATGGGGGGGGGCGAAAAAAATGTTCTGCCCCGGGCGCCCATAACTCTGGTTACGCCACTGGATGACTGTAAGTGTATGGGTAAAAAATGTAAAGAAATACTTTGCTGCGTAATGTAGATGTGCTTAATTTGGATTCATTATTGAAAAATGTGAGACTTAATATTACTTTAATAGACATTTTTTGAGATGCTTTAAAGTCAATCTACATTTTTAAATATGAAATAAAGTTAGTTAGTCACCACAGCACTTAAAAAACAAAAAGGGAGCTTTCCTTGAAATACTTGTCTTTAGTGCTGCAGTAGGGCATTAATCTGCAAATAGGCTTTAATATACAATCTTTGTTTGCAAATAAGCATTTAATACATGACAAAACATTCACAGAGCACTATGGGTTGTCCAAAGAGAGAACATAATAGACATGCTGACTCTCATTGAAACCTCAGGTGGAAGTGTTTAGAGGGAGCTGTGCAAATCACTGCCCTGGCTTATTCTCTTGTGTCTGTTAATTTCACCTTGAGATACTGAGCCCTGAAAACAACATGATTTTTAGAACAAAGGTGCAAAGAAGACACTGAAGTATATAAAAAAATATTCAAAAGGGAACTATAGCCCAACCTTTTTGCTGACATGCTGACCTTTAATATATATGGTGACAGTGCAGAGCCACCCGCTCCACCCCGCTAATCCACCCAGCTGCCTGACAGCTAGCTCTGCCTCTCTAGATCCAGAGCCAGCTGCACCCGCCCCCTCCCCTGTCTGTCCCTCCAATGAGCACTGGACAGACAGGAGACAGGGAATCCTTGTGGGGAGTGAAGAATGACAGTCTCCGCTCTGCGCAGGAAGAAGCCAGAACACGTCATATTCATATCCTATCTTTTAT